ATGTATAGAGAGATAAACACGACCAGTATATGTCGCGAGAAAATCAATAAATGCTTATGAACACATGTTTTCCTTTATACATTTTGCTTGCTGTAGCCATAAGTCACATTTGCTGGTAGCTTCTTTATCAATCTCCTTTATATCAAACGCATGCAACTACTTTACACTAATCAGATTATCATGATAGTTTTACATTTCAATTGTGTTTTCTAATTCTTTGAGCATCTCGTGACACAACTGAGGAGCGTGTCTTTTCTAGTCATGACACATAGAGCCAGTAACAGTATTCTTATGCATGCAATGCAATGTATTTTACAGACAAAATCGATTTACTTTTGGAAGCTTTAAGAAAGAATGGGAAGAATCAATACTTCAAGTAAACGTTCCCACTTGGGGAAAAGTCATTTCAGTTGACATGCAATCACAAACAATCGCTGGTGATGTGAGACTGGTGAATGGTAACGTGCAATCTAACGTTGTCCGACTATACTTATTCCTTTACTTTGTAGAGTAAATTCCTTGTACTGATTAGTTGCATGTGGCATATTCAATGGCGTATATTGTTCTGTATGGGACATGATACAAGAAAGACAGTGTCAAATATTGTAACATTTATTACAGAAACATCTATTTCTTTACACGAAGCAAATCAGTATGTACAAATAAGCACCATTGTGTGTTTCTATATCACAGTTAAAATGGGTCATGCGAAAGTGTCATAGCACAGATTAGATGCATTACAGTTGATTACGATATATGTTGGTGGCATGGCAACATGGTATTCATGGGGGACATCAAAGTCATCGACATCCACATTCAGAGGCGATCATGTCCTCGTGATGGCGCACAACCACTTCGCCATCCTCTACGTACATCATACTGAGAGGTTCCAGTTTAGTGGGGACGCAACAAGGGGCGGGTGCAACTTTGGAACGTTTGCTCCTCATGAGTGACTGCAACAAGGCGTGGTTGGTGGGTTTCAATCGCATATCGATAGGGGAGGGACAGTTTCCGTAACAGAATTTGGAGTTGAAGCGTGTAGGGTGGATGATCCACTGTCCCCAGCCGATTGTTGTGAAATCCACTTCAAAGTCGTACAGACGACAGCTTTGTTTCTTCCCTGATTTCTTCCATCTTCTGTTCTTCTGTTGTCGACCTCTATTTGTGCCACGGATCGATCTTTTACCACGTGTTGCCATATTACCTAATCCCTCGAAAGCAGAATGCTCTTCCACTTTGTAGGTATCCAAAAGTCTATTAAGGAAGTCGCGATTTTCCAAATAAAACACAAATAAGTAGCCATGAGATGCGGGTGTTGTTTTGGAAAGAGTACTGGTGAATGTGCGTGGAATTTCTATGTGAATGGTGACCTCCCCTTTGTAATCGCTGAACCAGGCAGTGAGTGCTCGACTTATGTCAAATACCAAATATTCACCCTGGGTAAAAGGTTGGACCATTATGTACACTTTTCGTGCGACATTGGGTCCCTTGAAAAAGATGACCTTGACCCTGTACTTCTTTAAAGGGAGGGCAGTGCGTTTGCACCGGAACTCGGCTAATCGGAGATGCTCATTCTTGGGCAGACCTGGGATCTTGAATGATAACTCAAGTCTCTTTCTTACAATCTTTTGTGTTATACCTGAAATGAAACATATATGGCATGAAGAGATAAAATGTACACACAAAACATTTTCATGAAGAATATTCTTGTAATGAATACTGAAGGTTTGGGATCCATTTATAAAAATTCCATCACGTTTTCACCTTCAGAACCTTATGGAATTGTATCTGTAAGCAATCGACACTCTTTGCTTGCCTTAATGTGCGGAATTTCTGACTTTTTCATTCTTTGGGTTAAAAGTTACATGTGCATTGACACTTGGTTAAAGTTTACCTTTAGCAGTGAAGCTCCTGATGGTGTCAGCTTTCTCGAAATCAGCTGTGTTCCGATTTCTGCCTGCCGCTCTTGCAAGTGGCATCCCTTTTTGAAGAATGTTAAACATTTGTAGCATAAATTGTGTTGAAGGCGTTTGATAATCAACTGGATGACTCAAACTTAGAAGTTCTCCAAGAGGTCTTTCCCCATTCTGATAAGCATCAGTTTGGACTCCAACATCCTGGGTTAGCATTTGTTGGGAAAAATCTAGACCTCGTCCTCCAGCGTTTCCCACACATATTAAGAAGAAAATTGTCATTTTAAATGGTGCCATTTTCAGACAGTTAGATAGATATTTTGCTGTGTAACTGAAGAATGCAGCAATGCAAGTGACCATGTTACATCTCCCGTTTATCGTTATATACCAGGTCCAACTACTTGTGTACACAAGATAAGTGGTCTTACAATGACCGGGTGTTGGCGAGGTGTTCATATTGCTTAAGGCAAGGGGTTATAATCTGCTTTAAAGAAAGGTGGTCGCGTGTATTATGTGTAACTGTACGCTCTTTATATGTAAAACATGTACCTGCTACATCAAGATCTTGCCTGGCGCTACTGTGACTCGACAGATATATATTGCGAAAGAATATTTGGAAAAATAGGAAGTCGATTATTTTTCCCTAGTTTTAATCACGGACTTCATGAGTACATTCTGTAATATACCAATATGTGACTTGTCTGCTGTGGTATAGAACTTACATTCTCCAACATTTACGTGGTTATAATGAGCCGTGCTACCATTAGATTCAACTACGTTTTCATCATACAGTAAAACAGCACAACTAACACTAATCGTGTAATCAGTATCTATTTCTTTGTAACAACTCCCGGAACCTAGCTTTGTATGCTACTTAAACTCAAGGCCTATGGATGTTTACAGTTCATCAACGAGAGATGTCTTTCATCTTGATAGATACATACTTTTTTCGATATTCACTTCCCAGACAAGGGCTATCACGCTTCTTCCACGGTAACAAGTCCGTCTCCCTGTCTCATTTCACTGTCGAACAATCACTGTCTGATCCTGTCTGCTGGATCACACTCATCCCGTTAATCTCAGCTACTTGTTAGATTACTTTAAGAAAACACCTCGTCAGCGTTTAGAGTGATCGATTACACGCCTCGCTGAATATTCGTTAAAACCATTCTTGTATTGTTCATTTCACGGTTCCATTGTACTGCTATTATTATGAACACATATTCTCTTAGTATGCAAATCTCAAGTTAAGCAGAATAGGTATAAGAATATTCCATATTCGCCATAATATTTCTGAACTACAATACTGCAATATTGTCAGCTGTCTTTTTTCATGTTGTAACTTTCTGCAATACACTGTGTTCGTTGCATCCTCGCCAAAGATATCGATGGGTAACAATGAATGATGAATTTCAAGAAGTTAAGCTCACGACGAAACTTGTTAGAAAACTACCGTGCTCAACCCAGCAACATTTTCCACTGTTTTATCCGGATAAAACATGTTCGAATAGGAGATTATCTATCATCAAAACATCATAAAGATCAAGTGTTTTAATCCTCCTCCACAAAGTGGATATCAGCTTCTTCTCATGCCTTGGTGCAGAAACGACTATGGCGACGTCGCCATGTCAGACAACAAACTGGGCGTCAGTATGTTAGTATGTCTCCCGGTTTATTTTATCATTATTGCTTTGTTGCCTTGTGAGCTTCCAACAGTTGAAAATTGTTACCACTGAAGTGGCATTATCTGCTTTTGTGTTAAATAAATAATGAGCACATCTGCAGTTGTTCTTGAAAATCATGACTTTTCTTATTGGCTTTATTGGAATTCAAAAAAGGGATTGAAAGTGTAAGCTATTCATTAATGGCTTGGAGAGACAACCCCTTGAATATACTGAAGACTACTGTCAATGTCATTATTTTGTTTTCCATTCATAATACTTAGTCAAAGTGTACTTTCAAAATGAATATATTAGGCAAATTAGATGGGAAGTACTCAAGGAAGACATGTGTAAATAGGTATAATATAATAGGTATGCGTTGTAACCATTTCAGTCAAACTATATACATGTATTACTTTTCAGAGAGTAGAGGTGTGCATGGGGAAACAAAAGGAATCCTTTTTATCCTTATATGAATAGCAATTTCCGGACGACTTTACAAGAAACAGCGCCATCTAGGAAGAGAGCGTTTTACCGAACACAAGTATGCTGCCAACAATGTTTGATCTTTGATTAATTCTGTCGAATATCGCCAACGCCACACTCGTTGACACACGCACACGTATATGTATAGAGAGATAAACACGACCAGTATATGTCGCGAGAAAATCAATAAATGCTTATGAACACATGTTTTCCTTTATACATTTTGCTTGCTGTAGCCATAAGTCACATTTGCTGGTAGCTTCTTTATCAATCTCCTTTATATCAAACGCATGCAACTACTTTACACTAATCAGATTATCATGATAGTTTTACATTTCAATTGTGTTTTCTAATTCTTTGAGCATCTCGTGACACAACTGAGGAGCGTGTCTTTTCTAGTCATGACACATAGAGCCAGTAACAGTATTCTTATGCATGCAATGCAATGTATTTTACAGACAAAATCGATTTACTTTTGGAAGCTTTAAGAAAGAATGGGAAGAATCAATACTTCAAGTAAACGTTCCCACTTGGGAAAAAGTCATTTCAGTTGACATGCAATCACAAACAATCGCTGGTGATGTGAGACTGGTGAATGGTAACGTGCAATCTAACGTTGTCCGACTATACTTATTCCTTTACTTTGTAGAGTAATTTCCTTGTACTGATTAGTTGCATGTGGCATATTCAATGGCGTATATTGTTCTGTATGGGACATGATACAAGAAAGACAGTGTCAAATATTGTAACATTTATTACAGAAACATCTATTTCTTTACACGAAGCAAATCAGTATGTACAAATAAGCACCATTGTATATTTCTATATCACAGTTTAAATGGGTCATGCGAAGGTGTCATAGCACAGATTAGATGCATTACAGTTGATTACGATATCTGTTGGTGGCATGGCAACATGGTATTCATGGGGGACATCAAAGTCATCGACATCCACATTCAGAGGCGATCATGTCCTCGTGATGGCGCACAACCACTTCGCCATCCTCTACGTACATCATACTGAGAGGTTCCAGTTTAGTGGGGACGCAACAAGGGGCGGGTGCAACTTTGGAACGTTTGCTTCTCATGAGTGACTGCAACATGGCGTGGTTGGTGGGTTTCAATCGCATATCGATAGGGGAGGGACAGTTTCCGTAACAGAATTTGGAGTTGAAGCGTGTAGGGTGGATGATCCACTGTCCCCAGCCGATTGTCGTGAAATCCATTTCAAAATCGTACAGACGACAGCTTTGTTTCTTTTCTGATTTCTTCCATCTTCTGTTCTTCTGTTGTCGACCTCTATTTGTGCCACGGACAGATCTTTTACCACGTGATGCCATATTACCTACAAAAGCAGAATGCTCTTCCACTTTGTAAGTATCCAAAAGCCTTTTAAGGAAGTCGCGATTTTCCAAATATAACACTAGTAAGTATCCATGGGTTTTGGGAGTTGTTTTGGAAAGAGTATTGGAGAAAGTGCGTGGAATTTCTATGTGAATGGTGACCTCTCCTTTGTAATCGCTGAACCAGGCAGTGATTGCTCGACTAATGTCAAATACCAAATATTCACCCTGGGTAAAAGGTTGGACCCTCATGTAAAGTGTTCGTGCGATATTGGTTCCGTTGAAAATGATGACCTTGACCCTGTACTTCTTTAAAGGGAAGGCAGAGCGTTTGCACCGGAACTCGGCTAATCGGAGGTGCTCATTCTTGGGCAGATCTGGGATCTTGAATGATAGCTCAAGTCTCTTTCTTTCAATCTTTTGTGTTATATCTGAAATGAAACATATATGTCATGAAGAGACACACTGTACACAAAACATTTTCATGAAGAACATTCCTGTAATGAATACTGAAGGTTTGGGATCCATTCATTAAAGTTCCATCACGATTTCACCTTCAGTACCCTATGGAATTGTATCTGCAAGCAATCGACACTGACTATTTGCTGGCCTTAATGTGCGGAATGTCTGACTTTTTCATTCTTTGGGTTAAAAGTTACATATGGATTGACACTTGGTTAAAGTGTACCTTTAGCAGTGAAGCTTCTGATGGTGTCAGCTTTCTCAAAATCAGCTGTGTTCCGATTTCTGCCTGCCGCTCTTGCAAGTGGCATCCCTTTTTGAAGAATGTTAAACATTTGTAGCATAAATTGTGTTGAAGGCTTTTGATAATCAACTGGATGACTCAAACTTGGAAGGTCTGCAAGAGGTCTTTCCCCATTCTGATAAGCATCAGTTTGGACTCCAACATCCCGGGTTTGCATTTGTTGGGCAAAATCTAGACCTCGTCCTCCAGCGATTCCCACACATATTAAGAAGAAAATTGTCATTTTAAATGGCGTCATTTTCAGACAGTTAGATAGATATTTTGCTGTGCAACTGAAGAATGCAGCAATGCAAGTGACCATGTTACATCTACCGTGTGGTTATATACCAGGTCCAACTACTTGTGTACACAAGATAAGTGGTCTTACAATGACCGGGTGTTGGCGAGGTGTTCATATTGCTTAAGGCAAGGGGTTATAATCTGCTTTAAAGAAAGGTGGTCGCGTGTATTATGTGTAACTGTACGCTCTTTATATGTAAAACATGTACCTGCTACATCAAGATCTTGCCCGGCGCTACTGTGACTCGACAGATATATATTGCGAAAGAATATTTGGAAAAATAGGAAATCGATTATTTTTGCATAGTTTTAAGGCAAGGACTTCATGAATAGATTCTGTAATATACCAATATGTGATTTGTCTGCTGTGGCATAGAACTTACATTCTCCAACATTTACGTGGTTATAATGAGCCGTGCTACCATTAGATTCAACTACGTTTTCATCATCCAGTAAAACAGCACAACTAACACTAATCGTGCACTCAGTATCTATTTCTTTGTAACAACTCCCGGAACCTAGCTTTGTATGCTACTTAAACTCAAGCCCTATGGATGTTTACAGTTCATCAACGAGAGATGTCTTTCATCTTGATAGATGCATACTTCTTTCGATATTCACTTCCCAGACAAGGGCTATGACGCTTCTTCCACGGTAACAAGTCCGTCTCCCTGTCTCATTTCACTGTCGAACAATCACTGTCTGATCCTGTCTGCTGGATCACACTCATCCCGTTACTTTCAGCTACTTGTTAGATTTCTTAAGAAAACACCTCGCCGAGCGTTTAGAGTGATCGATTACACGCCTCGCTGACTATTCGTTAAGACCATTCTTGTATTGTTCATTTCACGGTTCCATTGTACTGCTATTATTATGAGCACATATTCTCTTAGTATGCAAATCTCAACTTAAGCAGAAAAAGTATAAGAATATTCCATATTCGCCATAATATTTCTAAACTAGAAAACTGTAATATTGTCAGCTGTCTATTTTCATGTTATAACTTTCTGCAATACACTGTGTTCGTTGCATCCTCGCCAAAGATATCCATGGGTAACAATGAATGATGAATTTCAAGAAGTTAAGTTCACGAAACTTGTTAGAAAACTACCGTGCTCAAGCCAGCAACATTTTCCACTGTTTTATCCGGATAAAACATGTTCGAATAGGAGATTATCTATCATCAAAACATCATAAAGATCAAGTGTTTTAATCCTCCTCCACAAAGTGTGTATCAGTGTCTTTTGCTTGTTGTAGCCACAAGTCACATTTGCTGGTAGCTTCTTTATTAATCTCCTTTGTATCAAACTACTTAACTAATGTGATTATCATGATAGTATGAAATATCAGAGAGTACAGACAGACAGACAGTTTATTCTCAAAAGAACCCACCAACGGTGGTACATGAGAAAAGTACAATGTAAATTCTCATATGATAATATAATCAATCAAGATGACAGCAATATAAGGTAAATACATATATACAGTAACATTTTCAATGAATTATGACAAAGTAAGTTAACATGATTCCCATGCAGCTGCAACTAGTCTAAAGATGATGTTGATGAATTTAGACAGGTTTTTTTTACAGATGTACACAGGGAAACAAAAGGAACCCTCTTTATCCTTATATAAATCGCTATTTGCGGGCAAATTCACACGCATCTACGCACACAAATATGGAAATTAGCCCGGGTAGTGATAAACAACTTTTAACTTATTGATAATGCCATCCTCACTATCCAACATAATATTATCTATATTGTATTGTATGTATGGCCAGAGGCCCGTGTGGCTTGCGTCAATAAAAATTGTCCGTGTGTTTGTCTGATAAACACCCCCACAATCCCTTGAAAAACACAGTGACACATGGTACAACCTGAAGTCAAACTAGGGAATTGGATCGGCCATCATTTTGTCACTGAATCATATTGGAAAATGTCCTCCTCATGTCCACCATTATTGCTTGAAGGCTCAACTCATGCCTTGAACGATGTAACCTTGATCGACTTCAGGGCAAGAGTCCTATGAAATCTATGGTAATAGGAGCATATCCGATCGTACCAATAGCAAATGCTGTTGGAATAATGCTCGACATAAAGGGTAATTGATTTTAGAAAGTTGAAATCATCCCTCTTGTCCTCCATCCCTGCGGAGAGTTTTTCGTCGCTGAATCTTTATGTATAGATCTAAATATAAAAAAACATGGGGCGGCCTCACTGGTCTCCTTTATTTCAAGTTCAGGTAGGTGAAACAGTGGAAGGAATTTGTTATTTTAATATTATTGAACGGAAAGAGATCATGGATATACCTGAAGCTTGACTCAAACATCTTGCCCAAATTACCTCAGAGATTTTGAGACTGCACATGGTATTAATTCCACATGTCTCTCATACTTTCTGTGATAAGAAAGAGGGTCCTTCCTCGGTAGTGTTAAGGATTATCGTTACCCTTTGAGACAGTGCTTTGGTCGTACCAAGCAATATATATCTATTTATGGAGCTTTGATGTCAAGTACAAAAGAGGAATGGGTTTAGACTGAACTGAAAGGTTGAATAGTAATGAGGAATGGTTTTTTATACTGATTTCTTCCTAAGTTAACATACTCGCATTAATTTTTATATTTTATATATACAATATCTTTTAAACGTATGTACCCGTCTGTTCCTGAAGTACATACCATCGAATGTGTGTATTGTTTTCACTTTCAAATTCCATGTCAAAGACATAAGAATGATTGAGTGATAGTCCCGATAACTGCCGAAACAGATTCGACATAATTTCTTTGAGAGGCATTCGACATAAACTAAAAAGCAAAAAAGCGGTTGAATAAAGTACACGAACGAAATACTGAAACTCAATGATGAAACTAGGTGTTAAGGAAATAGCTAAGTATGTCCGTTCCTATCTCCAACCGACATTCACACATTTGTGGGGCGGTACGGTAGCTTAGTGGTTAAAGCGTTCGCTCGTCACGCCGAAGCCCCGGGTTCGATTCCCCTCATGGACGCAATGTGTGAAGTCAGTTTCTGGTGTCCCCCGCTGTGATATTGCTGGAACATTGCTAAATGCGGCGTAAAACCAAACTCACTCACAATTTTCATGATAAACTAGTAATCTGAATTACATATAAATTATATCATATGTTTGAATGATTATGAATATTCGGAGCCTATTTCCTGGCATTCTTAATGTTGTTAGAATGATTCTTAAAGTGTCTACGTTTACATATGGCGCCATTCATTGCACTGTGTGCAACGTCACAATGTTTAGTGACGTTAGTGCTGCTGCCATCGTGAAACCATACAGGTAATCGTGTGTACTTATATTCAAATAATTACGTTTTCTTGTATTCAAGTAATTATGTGCAATTTTGTACATACTGATTTATAGCCAGTAACAATAAAAGTAGTAATCTGTATTCATGGTGTAAGATGTACCAATAAATATTTAGCAATGTTGCACAAGTAGTATTGGCACTTTTATTGAATATTTTATGGATTATTAGCATGATGACCTACTTTTCCGAAATGTAAGTGAACCGTATCATACTATACTGGATTGTTTAGAGAATTTGAACCAAGTGTAAGTATTTATAAAGCTAACAGCTAGCCCACTGGGCCATTGGGATGTTAATTGATGCTTTAACATGAATACCCCACTCAGGCACAGTTCACTGACTCTGAGCCGACCAGTGCTTGTTACATTCATTTAATGCTTAGTGCCAGGCAAGGTAACAAGAACTACCATTTTGTTTTAATATAATACGGGCATGGGTATATTTGTTGGAAGCTTGACCTAGGACCTGTGATTGCAAATCACACCTGATATAGTACAACAAACACATTTGTTCTGGCTTTGTTTTATTGATAACCAATAAGGCATTTGTAACAATACTTATAAATATAGCTGGATATGACTCTTTAAAGAATGTAACTATGTGCATACAAAGTATATGGAATATTTGAACTTAAACATTATGCACGTGATCACAGATGAAATACTCAGAACTCCAGTGATACAGTTTGACAACTGGTTTAACCAGGAATCAATATCGAGCACTCAAAGCATGCCATGTCTAACACAGGTCCATATATACATAAAATCACCATTCAAACCTTCGAACAACTGTACTCTGTCTCAAAACATTTTATTTGAACAAATTTCAAACATTTGCTCATGTAACAACAGAATCACCACAATGTCACAACTCAGGATAAGGTAGGGACTCCAAACCAAACTGACTAGGGAATTGTCTTTGATAACCAATACTGAGGCACACTTCAGATTGACAGATAGATTTTGTACTGAGATCTGGACAGGGTTACACAATAAGCCCAGTGCCTACATCTACATACACAATAAGCCCAGTGCCTACATCTACTTACACAATAAGCCCAGTGCCTACATTTACGTACACAATAAGCCCAGTGCCTACATTTACGTACACAATAAGCCCAGTGCCTACATCTACGTACACAATAAGCCCAGTGCCTACATCTACGTACACAATAAGCCCAGTGCCTACAACTACGTACACAATAAGCCCAGTACCTACATCTACGTACACAATAAGCCCAGTGCCTACATCTACGTACACAATAAGCCCAGTGCCTACAACTACGTACACAATATATATATATATAAGCTCAGTGCCTACATCTATGTACACTGTCAGCTACTTACTTAAGAAGGTATCACTACAACACAATATTGGAACACTTAGATATAGGAAACAACATCAAAATATTACACAAAAAAGCTCAACAGCACCCAATACCATGTAATCTCTTTCACATATTCAAACAAATTATTTAATCCTTCTACTTACATGTCACAATACTGTTCAGGAAAACATAATGATATATAACCACTTGGTATATCAATAGGAAATGTTTAAAAATGGGGTGTTTTACACGTACTGTCAATGTTCTGACAAGTGGGATGATTCACAAGGTTCAATGTTCTGACAAGTGGGATGATTCACAAGGTACATCAGAAACCAATGAGTTTTGTGAAATCTCAATACCAACACATCTCACTCACTGACTCGCTTCAACAGCTGATCCTCTATTATTGTGTAAACACATACACAGCCATGATTACTACAATAACTCAGGCAGGACCTGTAATTACATGAGGTACATGAAGTATATGACCCGTCCTAATAAACTTAAATATGTGTGTGACAGCTACACACAAAGAAACAAGAATATTTTTATGTATAACACCATTATAACAGTGTTCATATTACATCACAAGATGTCCACTTAGTATTGGACGAATGCCCACAGTGATGCAGGTGAAACCCACGAGCAGGGTATGGGGCTGTACAAACCAGGAAACAATCAGGGCAAACTGGGCTGCATACCAACAATCACGTTTTCATTGTCCCCATGTGTTGAAACTCTGCACAATGAATGGCGGCACCTTACATGACTGTGTCCCTGGCATAACCTCAGCATGAGTTGTGAGTCCAATGTCATGACACACTAGACATCCACATTTAGTCAGGAATCTCACAATGTCTTAGAGGGCATTAAGAAGCTGAAACTGTTCTCCATGTCTTGGAACTCACATACTGCTACAGAAAGGGACAAGTGAAAGGGGATACTCATGTTACTTCACTTTCTCATTCCTGTGTGCCATGGTTCACAGTTATTTACATCTTAAATGAAATACATGACTAGTACATGTAAAACAGTTGACACCTATCTCAGTCAGACATTCTGACAAAATTAAAAAACTTCAAATTGACCATTAATCAGAAAGATCACACTTGTAATATCAGAAAGATCACACTTGTAATTATAACAATACATAATGTTTGAGGAACAGACATTGAGACAAAAAAAACATGGTCTTTTTTTATTGAATAATGGCTTGTACTTGTTTTCTGCAATTTCTTAGAAGTATTCCCACACTATCACAGTGGTGGACAGCAGAATTGGGACTCCAACCCTGTCCTTCGGTGTGCAGATTGTGATTATGAAGATAGTGTAACATGTTTAACTTGTGAAATTGGTCATCAGTTCATAGCTACAGCAGCTACTGCAACCTGATCTATCACTACAGTGTGAACTCATGCTACTGGGTGAAGACAACCCGACTGTGGATCGGATTGAGACACATGGCACACTTGTACATAGTGGTAACTGGAGATGAGTAGGTCTCCACATGTTGCCTAATGTTAAAAGATATGAGTGGATTGCAAATGAGAATGCACTTTCCATTTCAATATTCAGTCATGTTTTAACATAATAAAATAACAGATATTTTATAAAGCAACTGGGAAACTTATTCTATGCATATTGGTGTCACTGTTTACACCAAGAATAAATCTAAATATTTCCTATTTATTTAGTATCACAAAGTGAGAGAATTTTTTGTCTACTGAACTGCAAAACTACTGAATTTCAACACTGTAGACATGTTCTAATGGTGTCTTGGCTTGACAAGAGAATATTAAATACCGATACAGTCTGCATGTGCCTCAATACATTTAGTATGTAAAACGTGTAGTTTCCATCTATCAAGTCAAAGGTATCACAATATAGTAATGTCCATCAAACATAAAATTTTCATTCTGTGTGTGTAAAGATTAAAAGTACCTATGTAGACCTTTAATTTTATAATTCACCTTTGAGTAGGATCTAAGCTCCTCATTTAAATATTTATGAGTGAATTATCTGCCAAATTACAGTTCATCTTAACATATATAATCTTAATAAAATGTTTAAGCTTGCAAGCAGTAATTTAATATTTTAGTAATGCTATTCATAATGTTTTTAAAGATACAACCATTACATCCACAAGTCGATGTATGATAACATACCTTCACAGCTGTATACTAATTAACTGTTGAATAGACCGGGTCAGTCTGACCTTCAGTCTGACATGTGAGAGGCCTGTGTTGATTACTTATCACCACTGTTGAAATAAATTACTCAAAAAGTAATGATAACACAATTTACTCGGATGTGCTACCTGAATTTCATGATCATAATAATGTCAATAACAGAACAGTATTTTTCACCAAATACTGCCAAAGAAAATCGACAGATAATTTAAAAAAACAAATTTCAAACATATCAGTTTTTTGTTACAATTTCCAATATGAAATCCATCAATCTGTCCAATTAACAACAGTTTCTTGTAATACCATGGCAAAGGACATCATGTTATGACTGGTTCAAGTCTCAGGTCGCAGTGACCCAGACATGCATACACAACACAGTTATCGTCAGAAACTGGTGTTTTCACTGGAACAGTAACACATCTGTAAATATTGCCTCTAAAATAACACACACTCCCACAAAATACAGGAACCAAGTCTTCCCCTTGGGTAAGTCTCCTTTTCGTATAAACAGGATCTGAAAAAAAAGACAATATCGTTAGATTAATCTTTCAGCTTCATCAGTACCTGTTTATTGTTTTATTAACGTAACAATGTTCTTTCAGGGGTGTTTTTTTCTGTATTTTGTTGTAAGCACTATATAATCATGAGTGATTAAGCTCCAGGACGAAAGAACATTTTGCCATATATGTACACCTGAAAATAGGTTTCCTCAACTAGAATGTATACCATATATTTCTATACAAGGTGAAACCATACACCTGTTGAAAGTGTAACAAAAACAAAAATTGATCCTCTAATGATATGTTTGTCCAGTTTCCAAGGTAACAGTTACTTCACAGTCCTCTGCATTATTGCCTCTGCTTTTCTGCATCACATGTACATCTGGAGAAACATTTATAGTCCTAATTTTCAGTACCCATGAATATCCAGCAGAGGCCCTGATAAGCTGCTTATCCGGGTAAAATACGCATAGAATTATGCATTGAAAAATAATTGTTGCGTACCAATTACGCATTTAAAATGTTTAAAACAAATGCGTACAGAATATATTTATATAAATCGCTTGCATAATGAAAAAGACATCGATTGCTATCGAACAAGTGTTGTACTGTTAGCATAGGACAAGTGCTGTACTGTCAGTATAGGATGAGTGATTTTTTATGAAATCATTTCCATTATATTTAAGTTGGTTTTGATTAGGTATGACATAAGGATGTACATACCTGCTTAGTAAACTTACTCAATGGCATATACTTAGGTGAGTAAAATGACTGAAATACGCACATATTTGAAAGCCGTGGGTAACGGAAAATGAAATACCCACTCAACATTCATAATACCGACTCCCAAAAAATACAGTGGGTACAGTACCCACATGAGCTAAATCTTATCTGGAGCTCTGATCCAGGTTAGAACTGGTCTCCAGCAGCCCATGCTTGTCGTAAGTGGCAACTAATGGGATCAGGTGGTCAGGCTCTCTGGCTTGGTTGACACATGTCATTGTATCATAATTGCATAGAGTGTTACTCATGCTGTTGATCACTGGATTCTCTGGTCCAGAATCAATTATTTACAGACCGTCATCATATCATAACAAACAAAGAAACAAAACTAATTTTTCAGCAGTGAACATTACAACAGACACTTTTCAAAAAGAGGATACAATATGTAAATATTTCAAAAACAGATTGATTGATATTCAGGATTTTGAAAGTACTTACCATACAAATCTCAATGATAACAAAACCAACGAGACTGATGCCAAGCATAAAATACATAGAGCCTGCCGTTTCCATTATGATACCTCGATAGATACTCAGTATGAGACTGATCTGAAAGTAGAGAAAACAGTCATCTACACTGGAATATTTGATGTTCAAAACAGATGAAATATAAACCTTTAAAGCTTCAACCACTGCATAATTCATTAATTGTTTCACCAACAAAACTCTGAGTATTATAATATCACAGAACTATTTGCCTACTTCTGTTAAATGAAAATACAACAAGTATAATGTAACGTTGTGTATACAGTATGTACACAACACAACAATTTTTAGTTTTTACATGAATAACTACACCAAAAAAATACTGAAGTAAGTCCTTATAAATATATATATATGAACAATTCTAACTTCATAGGATTGCTTATTTCATGATTAACATAAAAGTTTTAGACAACAGTACAATATCATCGGCATCACAAACCACATAAATAAAACACAAGACACCCCTCCTCCAATCCACTTATCAAACAATCAGGAAATGATATACAGTGGACAATGCCCTATAAAATATGGAAATGTATATGAAAATCATTCTTAGTTACCCAATCAAGGCACAAACAGTGCTCTTCAACATTACAACTTTGTCAGAACATGAAATATCATGCTGGAATGAAAAACTAGGAGGGTGTATGTATGTACTTACCAGTACCATGAGAACCACAGTTACAACAAACAATATCTGCATGAGGCGCTGAAAGAATAAGTTATATGTTGAAGTGAATACCATTTCATTTAAAGAAAATAATGTAGTATTTCAAAACCATAATACTGTATTTGACACATTAATCCCCCTGACCAACTTTTGTACCAAGCTGTAAGTAATCTTTAAAAGTGATCCCAACTGAGACTGATCGTGTGGTCAGGCTCGATGATTTTGGTTGATGTCATCATATCCAAATTGGGTAGACTGACGATCATGATATCAATCACTGGATTGTTTATTTCCTACAGACCACCGTCATACACTGTACAGCGTTGTGTGCCTTCCGTTAAAGCAGAAACCATATAATTATATGGTCTCTGGTTAAAGCACCAACATGTACACATGACAACATGACAGTTTCTTCAACCGTTTTTTTCAGTGACAGCAGAGACTATATAATAGATTATTATGGTCTCTGATGACAGTTATTGCGTAAATAAATAACAAGCAGCAGATATTTGGGGGTACAGGCTATCCATTACCTTGAGTTATTTTGCAATTGATTGTTCTCAATTTCACACAAAAAAAGACTAATTATTATTGATATATACGCCAGTTTGTTATGAACACAACAAGCTAAGGTATTTACATCAACTAATGTATTTGAGAAAGTGAAATAGATTTTGCAACTTTCGTAAGCTCATGTGACATTTACTTCCGACATCATGCCACAGATATGTTTACTGTTCAACTTGTTACCGCTTTAGGAGACTGTGAACTATCATGGTAGATTGCAGCTGGGTCACTGGCTGGTGTACTTGATGTTTGTCTTCCTGTAAGAATCGATGACCTTTCGTCCGACATTGTGCGAATCTTTAAATCAAGCTAAATATCACAAATTATAATGACTTTCAGCGATACTTCCGTGTTGACACAAACCCTCGTGCCTCGTCTGCTACAGATGAATGGATGTTATGCGAGCTGTGATTGGATAAGCTCGGACAATCAACCAATCAACATAAATGTAACAGAATTCTGTCGTGGCAGTGGTCATATGACATCAAGATGGCGGACCCTAGCAGTACAACCCCAGTTCGTCCTGCTTCAACGCAGTCTAGTTCACCAACAACAACAGATACCTCAGCGATATACTATGACATTTCACCAACCATTGTAAGTATATTCGTTCTAACTGTCTACTTTAACTGTCATAATACGCTGTGGCCATGCGTCATGCATGATGCACATGACCGGTGTCCATTTCTCTATCACGCGCCTTCAACAGTTTAAGGATTGTCAGGCGCTTCATGTAATACTGAGGTGTGTTTTTCTCTCTGAGACTAGATTTATTATTTTATTTCTTTTCAAATATATTCCGTACTTATTTAATATTGTGTCTTGGGGGGATTCATATTCAACCAAACAGTCTTTCTTTTTTTCCCGCTAAAATAATGGAAATTGTCATTGGTTTTTTATGGGTAACATATAAGTATTACGCACATTGCCAAGATGTGAGTGTGTTCCCTAAAACTAGACAAATTATACTTATATTCACATAAAAGGATCACATTTGAAGACAATGCATCTATGTGAAAGATATCTGAATGAAAAAGAAAGTTTGTCATGTTAATTCCCACAATTGTTCATTTGCAATTCTTGGATATATAATCTCAATGTTTATGGACAATTAATCATTCGCTTTTGGATTTCAGTTATTTAGCAAATCATATTGAAAAGTCACATTTATCAAATGATATCTACAATAGGAAAGCCACCATACACCTGTTGCCATGAATACTGTCACTTCTATACCGATAGATAGAACCCTTCATAATGCATTGATCCGTACATCCAGCTGTTGCTAATGGTTAAACTGGACCTAAATGTTTGGTTTATTGGAAATATACAGTACTAGTGGTCTGGAATATTTTTATCCATACTATTATTTTACAATAATCTTGTCCCAAATTGTTTACCTGGCTAAAAGTGATCGAGGTTATGCCATGGCCTGTTTGTCTGTCTCCAAATATAGATACCTGCCCCTGCTACTCTGTAGCCATGAATCAATAGGAAATTGAGTGTACAATGTCACTGTCAATGCAAAGCACCTGCATGGACTGTAGAAATTTGATGTTTCGTCCTAGATATCAAATGAAAGTACTCTGTCTGGCACTCGGTATTAAGGTGATAAGACAAGGAATGGTTTCCACATACTTGGTATACTGTTTGTGGGTGGGCGGTGTAACAGGTGGGATGGTACCTCAGTTGGTTAGCACCATAAATCAGCATTACTTGACCATTAAAAGCATGCTCTTTTTTATATATTTGCAATAATCTTGAACATGACGTTTAAAGCTCAAATCATTTCACCTCACCTCACCTCACCTTTTTTGGTTTAAGGATATTTGTGATTTTGATTTCAACCAGTCTAGTGTTTGTTTTATAATAAGATATTTAAACTACAGGTGAACTACAAAATGAAATGTTCTGTGTTCAAGTTTTGATGTTTTAAATTCATTTATTTTGTACTTGCATATCAAGAATAATTAGAATGTATCTCTTTTCATTGCAGGTGTTTGTGGTCCGAATGTTCAATGTCATTGTGCTGATCATGGTTGCGGTAAGCTTTCATGTCTTAATAGGAGATGGGACATTTAGTATTTTCTGCATATCAATATGTGGTATATGTGTATCTATATCACAAGGACATTGTTAGGAAAACTGCACATATTGTCGCGTAAATTGTATTTTTCAAGATCTATTCAGAATGTTTGTTACACAGTCATCTTGGTATGAGTGATATTCAACTACAGTGAGCTGTGTATCTTTCCACAACAGATTGCCTTTATCCTGTGCCTTGTACAAGCCAACACAGCCAACAAGTCCTACTATCTATTAGCCTGCAACATTGTCAGTAAGTAATATAATAATGGGGCTGAAATAAATGTGTTAAATAGAAGTGAACATACTGTTATACATGTTTATAATTGGTCATATGCACTGACAGATGCTGTGTGTTGTTAATGACATATCCAGAGCTACAGATAACCTTTTGGGTCATTGAGTTATGTACTCGCTTGTGTTCATCTCAATTGGGTATCCTAATTTTTCTTTGAGTAACCAAATAAATTGTACTCACCTCACTCAAACTCAATTGGGTATTTTGCCATTTTCCATTAATTATAAAAATATAATAAAGTTTAAATGTTAGTGTTTGTTATTTATATTTGATCTGTACTAGAGGAACGATAAGAAAGACTGCAAGTTGTCAAGTTCATGTCCTGAAATAGAACCTCTCAGTATACCTCATTTATTTTATCTATCCACCGGATGCATAAGGTTTGATTTGACATTTTCAGGTGTACACATGTAAGATCACATTTATTGAGTAATTCTCAAAATTCAAGCATACTTGTATGCAATAGACTTAATAGGAATTGAGTTTTCACATAAATATTTAATGTAGTTAAAAGATAAGTTAAGTAAAATAAATTGATCATCAATTTGTAATGTTGACATGCATGAACCAAGTCAACGAGCCTCATCACCTGATCCTATTAGTCATGTATTACAACAACATATTTTTGCTGAAGATCAATTCTAGATGTAAAGTTATTACTGTGTACTGTTGGTTGAAGCCATGTGTTTCAGTGATGGTATAAACATCAATATCATCAAGGTCTTGTTTGTGCATGAGTCTGATTGGTGCAGTGTCTTGCATATTTCTTTGTATTGCTCTCACACTGATGAACTAATCAGGAACTAATCACGCTAATCACTTGTTTCTTATATTTCAGTCAGCAGTTTTGTTGGAGTAGTAGTGGTAAGTTTATATAAAACTGTTTTGCATTGTAATTAAAAATATTGATTTCCAAACAACTGTAACACCTGTTGGCATGCCATATTGTCAGTAAGTAACAAGTGGATAGATAAAGGGCTGAAGTAAATATGTTAAATGATAGTGAAAAAACAACATTAAAATAAAGCATGTACAAGTCATATCAGTTTAAGACAAGATATACCATATTTAGAAAGATGATTTGTATACTAGTACATGGTACAGAAAGAAAACTGATGTGACATTGAGTTATGCCATATTTTCAACTTTTGTCTTCTCTCATTTAAATTGTAATGTGATTTTCTAAAAAAATGATCTGGAAAGATATTTTGTGTTCCTATTAGTATTATAGTGTTAATATGTTTTAACTCCATAGTTTGAGTGCTATTATATACGCAAGGCTGTTTTTCCAGTCTGACATTCAGTCATAGTTGTAGCATATCATCTGTCTACAGTTTACAAGGTTTATGATTCTTTATCACTTAAATTTATGGGATGTAATATCAATGTTCTTACTTCTCTTTCAGAATTGGTGGTATCGAAGTGGAGACTTGGTAAGCATTTTTTTGTCTTCAACGGTTTGTGTTTTAGAGTTTCAAATTATGCCTGTTAACTGAAGAATATGCATGGATAAGGAGGGAAGTACTAAGTCATCCTTGCATCCTTCTGTGTTTCTAAGCTTACATGGGCCGATGGGGCAGCCTAACGGTTAAAGCATTGGCTCGTCACACCGAAGACCCAGGTTCAATACCCTACATGGGAACAGTGTGTGAAGCCCATTTCTGGTGTCCCCTGTCGTGATATTGCTGGACTAAAAGTGGTGTGAAACCCAACTCACTCACTAAGCGTGTGTTGGAAGTCAGACAAGTCAACCAGATTCTATTGGACAGATCCTGTACATGTGAGAGTCTGTACAAATAAAATCTGTGGATGTTTGATTCTCAATTCAGTTGTAGCATGCCTGTTGTATTTAGCTGACATTTCAGATACTGAAACATTCTAAATACCTCTTTCAGGTGTTCATACAGTTACTAAGCTTTTATGGACCGCCTCAGTGGTGTAGTGGTTAGAAGCGTCCGCCCGAGAGCCCGGAAGGTCGCTGGTTCGATCCCGACCGCGTCATACTAAAAGATGTTAAAATATGGTACTTGTTGGTCCCTGCCTGGTGCTCGGCATTAAGGGGTACAACGAGGACTGGTCGGCTCGGAGTGAGTATAATGTGTGTGAGTGGGGTATTCATGCTTAACTGTGGCATGGTATCTCAGTGAGCTAGTACTATTAAACCAGCTTAAGTCTGGGCTAGTACACCAAGCCACACATACACACGCTTGCACGTTGTCATATGAGCGAAATATTCTTAAGTGTGACGTTAAACCCCATTTCACCTCACCTCACATCCTTAGTTTTCAGATGGACCAAGGTAAATCTCTATTGACAAAATGGATGGAAGTAAGTGCTTCCTGTTCACAGCATGCTGTTGTGCAAAGCGGTCTTCCTACCAATGTGGTCTTAACTGCCGTAACATCAGCTGATGACAGTTATAGTGCTAAGGTTGTTTTGTACAACAGCACCTCGGTCCCAAATATTAACCATATATGTAATAACTTGTTGTCAATACCTTAATATACTCACGTGTTTCAGGGTGTGGAGAAGTACTGGTACATTGTCTTGGTGGGCGTTGTCATCCCTCATACAGACCATTACAACAGACATCTACGTGTTCCGACCCGAGCCTGAAAATATGTCTGGGCTGTCCACTGCTAAACCAGTTATAAACGGAACAACACGCATGGCTTCACTTGGGTAACCATATCCAACGTCACTTCCAACAAATCTCTCGATGTCTATCACAACACTCCTCCTGCAATGCCAATGGTGCTGGATGCTTTCTAACTTTCTCTTGACACTTGCATGGACAATTTTGGACTAGTTTGGTTTCATTACTTTCAGAAGACTCATTTTCCAATACAAATTGGAGCAGCCGATATACTCAAATATATATTCATTCAGGGTTAATATGTCAAATACTGGGGCACAGTAATCTGTACATGTTAGACAAGAACATATCGGACAGGTGTAAAGGGGGTTTCCCTCTCATATATTTTTCTGAAAAGCATAAATTGTGAAATATGTGAAAAGTATTTAAGATTTTTTTATGCATGTATATTTTGTTAATTTTCTGAAATCAAAATAACTAATTTTCAAATCAAAAGTATGAGGGTAAAGTGTCCTCATAATATTGATATTTCTTGAAAATGCAATTATTTATACCTGATTTCTCGCATGCCCCAATACAAGGGCTCATTTGCTCCAATAAATTGGCCTGTTTATAACGACTTGCAGGCAAGTACTTGAATGCTCAAAAGCAATTACTAATGGAAACTCAAAGAATGTTTTCAATCCCCATTTTACCTAGATAGCATATATGATGGACCCTATCTTTTCACTGGACTGATCCATGTCTGTTATTCACTCAGTATGTCTGTAGGACAGACTCTTAGGTTGACACTGTCATAGTTTGCCTGTTGTACATCTGTTGCATCTTGTCTTTGTCTTTCTTTGGCCTGTACTGGCTAGCTTAACAGTTATTGCCATATTTTAGCGGTATTTACAAAATTACTCAGTCATTCGTTAAATTAATGAAACAGAATTAATTATGATACTTAATTAGCTATTCACCGATGTGTCCAGCCGTTCACTGCTGCCGATCATGTTTTTATATAGCGGCGGAAGGGAATCATGGCGGTTTAAATAGATGTTTTCTCACAACTAACTGTAACAGCAACAGCAACTGTAACAGTTAGTTTTACAGTAAATTGATAGGGAATGAAACAATTAATTACTTGTGAACCTGAACTTGCTATTATACAGGTCGCTGACATTCCCCCCCCCCTGACTAAGTCAAAAAAAAATTATAGGGTTCATAACTTTATCTTTAACTTTTCTTATGTTATGTTACTTGCCGTGAAGAAATTTCTTTTGCTGTCCTGTATTGTTGTCAAATACCATAGGAAAAAATACCGGAATTGTAATTGACCGGAACTGCGTATGTGTGATACTGATGTATTGGCGATAACTGTTACGCGGCAATAACTGTTCGCTAGCCAGCATAATTATATTCTGATAGTATGCACACGAGCATAGAATATTATTTAACGGGCTTGCCTTTTTCACAAACACCTGGGGTTATCTCAATTTGTTTTATCCATTTACAGTAAACTGTTTAAGAGGCATTCTAGAAGTTGTAAGTAATAGGAGTGACAAGTCTTTATGGATGATCAACTTCTCTATTGTACAATAACGACGTTTCGGTATAGATGCTTACCGTATATGACCGTCTATAAGCCGAATTTTGAGGACAAAAAAAAGCAGTCTGTAGAAGGGGGTCATCTTATCCATGGGTTATGCTTTCGTCAAACTTTTTTCCAGGGGTAAGAAAACAACATCGTATCACTTCGCGTGAACAAACAACAGAAGACGACTTTGTCAGTAGAGACGTCAAATTTGCAATTAAACATCACTAGACAAAATTATTTACCTTTTAAGTTATAAGTTGTTTTTGCTGGGCATTGTATTATTTGCAGGAATTAAGATTACCGTGTGTATTTGAGCCGGAAATAGCAATCAGCTGTGCACACGCTTCCCGGCGAACTAGTTCAAAGATGCACAATAATATAGCGGGACGAATTCTTACGCAGTCATCAGTAAAATATAATTCAGAACACTATTATTTAACCCAAAGAAATATATCCTAGCATTGTGTAATTTTAGTTACAATTTTGCTCTATAAATTAATTAAGATTAAGATTACCGTGTGTATTTGAGCCGGAAATAACAATCAGCTGTGCACACATTTCCCGGCAAACAAGTTCAAGTATAGATGCTTAGGTAAACGGTATAAGTATCCATACCAAAACGTCGCTATTGTGCAATAATGCAGTATAAGTATCTATACTGAAGCGTCGCTATTGTGCAACAATGCAGTATAAGTATCCATACCAAAACGTGCCGCTATTGTGCAATAATGCAGTATAAGTATGTATACTGAAACATCGCTATTGTGCAATAATGCAGTATAAGTATCCATACCAAAACGTCGCTATTGTGCAATAATGCGGTATAAGTATGTATACTGAAACATCGCTATTGTGCAATAATGCGGTATAAGTATCCATACCAAAACGCGTCGCTATTGTGCAATATTGCAGTATAAGTATGTATACTGAAACATCGCTATTGTGCAATAATGCAGTATAAGTATCCATACCAAAGCGTCGCTATTGTGCAATAATGCAGTATAAGTATCTATACTGAAACATCAGCTATTGTGCAATAATGCGGTGTAAGTATCCATACCGAAATGTTGCTATTGTGCAATAATGCAGTATAAGTATCTATACTGATACATTGCTATTGTGCAATAATGCGTGTAAGTATCCATACCAAACGAAACGTCGCTATTGTGCAATAATGCAGTATAAGTATCTATACTGAAACGCGTTGCTATTGTGCAATAATGCAGTATAAGTATCTATACTGAAGCGTTAAGCTATTGTGCAGTATTGCAGTATAAGTATCTATACTGAAACGTTGCTATTGTACAATTAAGAAGTTCATCCATACCTACCATTTACAGAAAAAGTGTGGTTATAACGAAAAAGGACCGTCAATAGGACCACTGATATTAGTTTGTTATAACATTTTGACACAAAACATTTTCAGCAAGTGAACTGGACCAGAAAACACTTCATTATATACATCTGTTTGCTATGAACTTAAGTTAACTGTAAATAATTTCATTACTATATTTTGCTTTTAAGGCAAATATAATGGAATCATTTTTGCAGATAATGGCAAATTATTCTTTGTTGCAGTTAATATTATCTTATGATCATATAAGTTGTATGCTTCTGTCGAGGGTAATGCGGTCTGATGTACGCCTCTTTGTAGACGTGTCACCCGAGCTGGTAGGCGAGGGATGACACTGCTACAAAGAGGCGTACATACGGTCTGATATGTACGCCTCTTTGTAGCAGTGTCACCCGAGCCGGTAGGCGAGGGATGACACTGCTACAAAGAGGCGTACATCAGACCGTATTACCTGAGGGAGAAGCATACAACGTATTTATCTTACCGCCATGTTAAATGTACAAAATATCATATTATTTTTTGTTAAAGATTGCGACCGACTAAATGACATGTTAACAAAATGGCGTCTGCCTGTCGACTGGATTTTTCAAATCAGTGAAACATATTCTGACAAGCTTAAAACTGCTATAAAAATGGTTGATTATGTTTGAGTTGAGTGTGCAAACCACTCAATGTATAAAATAACTTAAATAAAGCAGTGAAAGTGGGTAAAATAAATCTGTTCAAAGTGAACACAAAAACAGCTGATTGAACGATTTTCGAACTCCGGGCACGGCATGCGTCATGTTATGTCGTCATACGATTGTTAGCGCTTCAGCTTCTCGGCGGAGAGCTTGGCAGTTACCATGGCAGCAGATAATATTTTTTCCAGTTGTCACCCTCCTGGGAGGGGTGACACGGAAACCTTTTAAAGTGTCATTAACCAATGAAATCAAGTATTTTACATGAAGGTAAGATAATATATATCCATCTGTTACTGTGAGTCAGGTGGTACAGTGGATTGACTGCTTTACATGTCACTATCAGTGTGTGGGTTTCATTCTTCATGTGTAACACCAGGATGTGTGTAGCTCATATCTGGTGTCCCTGATTGAATGCTTCTGTAGTGGTGTCAAGTGCAAAGAAAACATCATTTAATCAACCAAGTACATCAGTGTGACTTTAAGGACGTACTCACTTTTGTTTGAAATTTCCAATTATGTATTCTATTTATGATGACTAATTATATATAGTATCATACTTGCAAAATGGTTAGTTTATATGGTCATCACTCTATTGACATGGTTTATCTTGGTGTCTCCGCTGTAATATTTCTTGATCTTGCTGAAAGTATGCATATATATATAAGTATAAATTCAACTCTTGTGATGCAACGCATGTAAGAATATACATGAATATGCTTGTTTTATGATGATGTTTGCTGTATTTTGCTGCACAGCGACTTGTTTCAAAACTAGTTTTCAGGTAAATATTGCTACTGCCTAGGTCTTGGCCCTGTATAAAGGTGTATAATGCTAAAACTCCAGTCCGGCAGTGACAGTCTTTACCTGGATGCTATTTTCTTTTTCGTTACAAGCCCCTGTGTTATGCTGAATTAACCCATAGCTATCTCTGTATGGTAATGATGATATTCACAACTGATTAACTGTCCATCTATGTATTATATTTATGTATTTATTCTATTACTATTTAGATTACATGATTTGTGCTGTGATGCCAAATGAACATGAAGCGTCTTTTTTCTTTTGCATCCTTTTGTAAAATTATACTGTGTTTACAATGTGAAGCCTTATCAGTGTTTCCGTTCTCTGGGATATACCTGAAAATCGCTGGTAAAATTCATTGGGGACCGGTAAATTGAAAGCAAGACGGACCTTCTGTCCGGTAAATAATCATGTATTAAAATTAAAAAATCATGGGTAAGCGAAATGACAGTCTTGGCTGTGCTTTCATGGTCGCCAAAATTGTTATGTTTTGGAAATACCAAGGCTAAAAATAACTTTAACATAAGAACTTACAGAATGATAATATATGACCGTCAAATTTCATTCATGACCGGTAAAATTTTAGGTTGCCAGACACAGTGTCCGATAAATAATTTAGTCAGTGGAAACACTGCTTATCAATTGACTAAGAGTTTATTTTAAGGATATGACAACACAGAGTCTGACATTTGTGGGTTCTTTATCTCTGAGAGTGACATTGTTTTTCAAGTTATGAAATATGTATGCCCAGCAGTCGGTTCTATACATAGACGACATGTCTTGGGTTTCCAGGGGCCAATTATTTTTGGAAAAAAATTCAGTGACTATTGCATGCTAAGTATAAGATCCTGTTGCCTAAAATCCCTGAAGATCTGGGTTACAATTGGTCTTCAGCAACCCATGCTTGTCGTCCCATGTCATCGCATCCCAACTGTGTAGATCGATGCTCATCATGATAATCTAGATTGTCCGGATTGTCTGGTCCAGACTCAATTATTTATGGACCACCACCATATAGCTGGAATATTGCTGAGTGAAGCATTAAACAACAACCAAAGCAGAATGTTGCCTTAAGTGAACCCTTAGGTATCCTATTTCATTAACAGTAATACCAAGTGACAGCGTTATCATCAATATGTCTCTATTTGTCTATTTCCACAGATATTAAAAACTGGTCATGTTCTGGCGTTTATGTTTAGTATTGTGTATGAAACCACAAATACATGTGACAAATAAAAAATTATGAACTTGTGAACATACTTAATGTACACTATGATTTGCAAAGAAAATTTGGTATTAGGCCAGACCAATTTTATTTCTTGTTTTACAGATCTTTGTCCTCAGAAAACCTAAAGGCAGGAGGGAATTTTTTTTTTTTTAAATCACCCGTCAAAGTAATATTCCTTCTAAATACTCAAAGTATTTTACTTTTGGCAATTTTTTAAGTGTATATTGGGCAAAGGACAATAAAAAATAATATTTTTTTGTAAGTTTACATATTTGGCTAAAAAAACCATTAGGATTTAATTTGTTGAGCGGGGGAAAATTAATTTTTATTTTTTTTCTTATTCTTGAAAAAATACGACAGGTGGATCCGAAATATAATTGGTCTGGCCTTAACAAATAAAGTAAGGCTATGATAAAGTTTCAAACTTGCATCACCTGTTAATTAGCCTTGGTGTTGTGACAGTGTATATTCATTTTGATGAACCTCTTTAGTTTCCAAACATATTTATGGGTATCTTATAGGGCACTTACTGAAGAACACTGGCATGATATGTCAAATATTTTGACTTGTATGTACTTCTGCTCTGATCTACTCTCCTCAAATTTCTATTGCTACTTTTGAGAGTACTCTGCTTTAATGCTGCTTGTTGGAGTCACCCACTTCGCCTTTTTTCACCTATGATTACCCTTATAATACTCTCTCTTTGAATTTAAAAAGGTACCTTGTTATTTCTGTGTAATGGGTTATGTATTTTTTCAAGAATGATTATCAGTTGAGTAAGGTAAGAGAGGATGTCGAGAAATGTGAAAGCCTGTCAGTCTGATTATTGTGGCTGCACAGGTAAGGCAAAGTGGACCAGTGATCACACATACCAGGCAATCTGGGTTCTATGTCAAATGGCTGATAGGATCTGTAAGTTGGAATTTTTTTCCTGTAATTTGGGAAAATTAGGCGATGTGGTATACTCCACTCTCTGGAATGGTATGTTATTTTGCTGCTTGTTGTAATACAACCTTGACTGCTCTAACTGATTGCTTTTTGAATGCTGTAGGTTCTGCCCTGGTAGAGGTACGCTTTCTCTTTTCCAAAATATTCTCTCAACATTTGAAACACTTATAATTTCATTTTTCATTGACATTTGTAAATTTATAAGTACTTCTTTCATGACTAAATGTTGTAGTAGTCATGAACCATCTGGTTCCATTAAATGTGAGTTATAAATCTATTTCATGTAATGTAAACAAACTGCAACAAAAAAAAGGGCTGATGGTTGATTTCTTGTTTCAGACATGATCACAACACGACCCTGGGAGCCTGAAGTATTGGACTTACATCAGTTACATTGCCTTGCCACTGCATTTGAAGTCTCCTTCTACCTGCCTGTGGAGAAGCAGAGATTTGCCAAATGTGCAAGATGAATGATAAAGCAATATATAGTAGTGTTTCATTGTAAATAGCATCAAGTTATTATATATAGCAATCTTCATGATATGACTTACATCATGTGTCATAAACAATGTAAAGCTAATCTTTGGTTGGTAGTTTGACGTTGGTAGTTCAAGACATGACTTACATCATGTGTCATAAACAATGTAAAGCAAGTCTTTGGTTGGTAGTTTGACATTGGTAATTCAAGACATGACTTACATCATGTGTCAGAGACAATGTAAAGCAAGTCTTTGGTTGGTTGTTTGACATTGGTAGTTCAAGACATGACTTCCATCATGTGTCATAGACAATGTAAAGCAAGTCTTCGGTTGGTAGTTTGACACTGGTAGTTCAAGACATGACTTACATCATGTGTCATAAACAATGTAAAGCAAGTCTTCGGTTGGTAGTTTGACATTGGTAGTTCAAGACATGACTTACATCATGTGTCATAGACAATGTAAAGCAAGTCTTTCGTTGGTAGTTTGACGTTGGTAGTTCAAGACATGACTTACATCATGTGTCATAAACAATGAAAAGCAAGTCTTTGGTTGGTAGTTAAAGACATGACTTATATCATGTGTCATAAAGAATGTACAGCAAGTCTTCGGTTGGTAGTTCAAGACATGACTTACATCATGTGTCATAAACAATGAAAAGCAAGTCTTTGGTTGGTAGTTCAAGACATGACTTACATCATGTGTCATAAAGAATGTACAGCAAGTCTTTGGTTGGTAGTTTGACATTGGTAGTTCAAGACATGACTTACATCATGTGTCATAAACAATGTAAAGCAAGTCTTCGGTTGGTAGTTTGACATTGGTAGTTCAAGACATGACTTACATCATGTGTCATAAACAATGAAAAGCAAGTCTTTGGTTGGTAGTTCAAGACATGACTTATATCATGTGTCATAAAGAATGTACAGCAAGTCTTCGGTTGGTAGTTCAAGACATGACTTACATCATGTGTCATAAACAATGTAAAGCAAGTCTTCGGTTGGTAGTTTGACATTGGTAGTTCAAGACATGACTTACATCATGTGTCATAAACAATGAAAAGCAAGTCTTTGGTTGGTAGTTCAAGACATGACTTATATCATGTGTCATAAAGAATGTACAGCAAGTCTTCGGTTGGTAGTTCAAGACATGACTTACATCATGTGTCATAAACAATGTAAAGCAAGTCTTCGGTTGGTAGTTTGACATTGGTAGTTCAAGACATGACTTACATCATGTGTCATAAACAATGAAAAGCAAGTCTTTGGTTGGTAGTTAAAGACATGACTTATATCATGTGTCATAAAGAATGTACAGCAAGTCTTTGGTTGGTAGTTTGACATTGGTAGTTCAAGACATGACTTACATCATGTGTCATAGACAATGTATGGATTTCAGGGTCAGGAAACTAGCCTGAGGAATACAGAAGTTTCAAGACTTGTGTCTATAAATAAAACAGTATATTAGAAAACCATATGAAGTTATGATTAAAAGTAAACAATATGACATAACTTATATTCACGTCTTATAATATGGGATGTAGTGATTGATGTCTTGATCTATCGTACAATGCCCGATGCCTAATAGGTATTTTTATACATGTACTTTTATTATTTTTATCCAATAGTTGGATCATTAGTATGAGCTGCTGTGACCTCACTTGAAGTGGTTTTAATGTATACTGTGTCTGTGATAATCATTGTTCATTCCTATGGTCATATTATTAAAAAGTGTGATGTTATGAAATATATTACTCTACAATCAATGAAGAAATTAGATTTATCTAGCCTTTTTCGATATACACTAGCAGATCATAACCATTAATCCAGTTATCTGCAAATGCTCATGTAGTGTATATATCCTATTTAATGTTGAGTGGTGGTGTATTTATCATTGTACATGTGCAATCACCAGGGGGTATTTGGAACAGGTTATCCCAGTGTCAAATACGGGTGGGGTATTATGATAATGAATACAGCTCATTAAATATACTGTAAGGTGGAACCTCGGAGATACAGTTTACCTTGTCTTCAGTAACCTTTCCTATGATCATGGTGACCACTTTCAACACTGATACAGTTATTACACGGTGTGTTAGTTTCATACTAGAGAAACCCTAAAGGCTATATGTCAGTATGTGCATATGCCCCTATATATATACATGTAATATAGGCCAAAATATTGTAGAAAAATGTGTGACATTGTGCCTTCAAGTGAGAGATGTCTGTTGTTAATCACTTTTGTTGAAACACACAAGCACCATTGTTTGTCAAAAATGATAATCAGGAAAATTCTGGTTCAAGAATGGAGTCTGTTGAGCCTAATTGACAGTGTACATGGATTTACGGTGCCTTTGACATTCAGCTACCTCGGCCTAGATCATAGGACATTTATCAATAACCTGTTAATGATCATATCAGTTTATTTGCTGTGTGCAGTGTAGCTCATATTCACCATACATACGGGGCGGTGGGGTAGACTAGTGGTTACGTCATTTGCTCATCACCCCGAGGACCTGAGTTGGATTCCCCACATGGGCACAATGTGTGAAGCCCATTTCTGGTGTCCCCGCAGTGATATTGCTGGAATATTGATAAAAGCTGCGTAAACTCACTCACTCACTCACTCAGCCATACCATTCGTCCATCTGTACTGATGTACAGTAAGTTGTTTACAGGCGTTACTTATTATACCTCGCTTTATACTCGGAAACATGCTGATGATCTGGAGATTTTACGTGCGCTTTTCGACATAATGCGTATTTCGTACAACCCTCGGAAACATTCGATGATCCAATTGGTGAGACTTTGAAATGAAAAGTTATTATACTCAAAATTTTACCAGTCACATGTTAATATGCATGTGGCTACAAATATGACTTTAGCAAAATCCAACATAAGCATGTGTTTTTTTATGGAGAATCTCAATGCTGATTGAGTCATTAAGGCTATTTTCATTCACAGTAATTCAGAAAAGCGTAAGACATCATCCATCGTTAAAGACGTGACATTGATAACATTCCGTCGTCAGAACATTCGGGGGTTGGGGGGGTGTCTCGGTAATGTCAATTACGTTTTGATGCTTACAGTGACAATGAATAAGCTAAGAAGTCTTACGTATGATTGATGTACACATAAGTTGTGGACCCCAATTTTTCACTTGTAAGATTATCCGTGATATCTTCCAGCTTGGTTAGTCTTTGATCATTCCTTTCGGAATATAGATTGTGCACACAGTGCATCAAAGACACAGATGTGTAAATAGGCCATGACTTGAAAGTTTGGTTAATAAGAATACTGTGATCGACTTTGTAGAATGATTTTATGAATATTTAAGCTGGTTAGTGTGGCCTTCAAACAGCTAAAGACTTGGTGCTTCATATTGTATTATTTGTTGACGCCGCCATATGGCGACAATATTGCTGAGTGTGGCGTAAAACTAAACTCACTCACTCTGTATTATTTGTTGAAATAAACAATATCTTTGAAATGTACGGTTTTATTTGTTTTAATAATGAGAGTTCCAACTTTACCGTTTGTCTGATGTCAGAGCAGTTGAGAGGTGCTAATACTACGGTTATGGCCCGGGAAAGCGAAATCTGGACTAAACCTCCTTAATTTAGGTTTCGTTTTCACGGGAACGGTCAAGCTGCAGTTAACACTGAATTTCGCGTACCCGGGACTCTCAATACACAAGAAAAATTTAATATATAAATAACAATAAATGTTGGAGCCACAGACTGTTCACCGATAAGCCACATGGATGGATCGTGGTGAGGTGGAATTGAAAATATCGTGCATAGACAACTTACATCGTTAAGCATTCATTGTCGTTATTTACGTTACCGCAATGTAATTTACGTTACTTATATATATAGGGCGATAACAACCTAAAACTACTTTCACTTATCAAAGTTTGATTCACATTTGATATGTCGGCAATGCCAGACAAGAAAACACAAAAGTTCGCGAAGTTTCCAACAAATTACGGTAACGTAAATTATAGTAACGTAACGTAAATTAGTTCTGGTAATGAATAATGTTATGGCAAGATGAATAAATACAGAATGCTTGGTTGGGGGACACGTATAACAACAGACCGCCGGACCCCAAATGTACAGTGATGAAGACTTACTGGGATGCTAGATTTTGAGTTATAACGGTAATGTTTGATTACTTGCTTAAATAATCTCCACTGATGTCGAGCATATTTTTCCATATTGTAAGAAAAATCAATGTTAACGAAACTATATGGTTTTAGATATCGAGAATAGATGAACAGGCCAATCAAGAAAAATTATCTTGTGGGTATGTGCGATGATTTACCACAAGAAAAGCTGTAAACAAACACAACTGAGAATTAGTGAGATCTGCTGGAACAACCGTCTTTGCACGTTGGATTAAATAAAATAGTCAAATAAGTCAAACAACTAGCAAATTTTACTACACAGCTCATATACTTTTCTCGGAGGTTTTTTCTACACCGATGCTTAAACTTGTCATAGATCAAGTGCTGAAACTTGAAACAACTGAAAGGGCGGTGGGGTAGCCTAGTGGTTAAAGCGTTGGTTCGTCACGCCGAAGACTCGGGTTCGAATCCCCACATGGGTTCAATTTGTGAAGCCCATTTCTGGTGTCCCCCGCCGTGATGTTGCTGGAATATTGATTAAAGCGGCGTAAAACCAAATTCAGTCAGTCAGTCAGTGAAACAACTGAAACTTCCATCTCAGTTAAGAGGCTAACAGATCGAGTATTGGGGTCGTGCGCAATTGAAGTACGGTAATCCGATGTTTTCATAGCAATTCGCTTTCGCGGCACTTCTAGCACAACTTTTGTTTTCGCTTTACCGGGAATAGGGAATATTGAAATTTCGCTTTCCCGGGCCGACACCAATACCACTTCCGTTTTGCCGAAAGCGCTGCAGAGTTGCTCACCTCGATCATAGCAGGAACTGCTCGAGACTGTTTTGAACCTCTTTGTCTTCCAGTTTATGATTAGTCCGTTTGCAGGGTACTATTACTTGTGGGATTCGTCAAAGTTTTAAACGTTTGATGGGCACATTTACCAGGAAGCTACACGAATCGGGACCCTGACTTATCAGCTTGACCCCCATCAGCGTTAGACTTTGTTCAATACACCAGTCGCTGGTTGAGCAAGGCTACAGTTCTCCGTGAATTAGCTTCACTATTATGGAGTGTTTATTATTTAACCCCGCACACAGCAATAGTTATATGGCAGCAGTCTGTGAATAATCGAGTTTGCACCAGACAATCAAGTGGTTGACAACATGAGAATCGACCTACACAGCCACTGTAAGGACAAACCACCATAGGCGCCATTGAGAAAATACGTTTTTGTAAGACTGAGGCCGTGGAAATTAATTCAAGATGAATTCGTATCTTCCACGAACATTCAAATCTATATTTCATGATTGTTCACATAGCCTCT